GTACATGATATGCAATTGGCTAATATTTTGCGATTTTATACAAAGGCAAATAAATTTTCTAGTGTTTTTCAATGAATTCTCAAAATTCTTTAATAACTCATTTCAATGGGATATGCATATAATTCTCTACCTGGAAATGAAACATTCAAGGTCTAACTCAAGCATTTTGAGGAAAATTGATATATTAGACATCGCAATAAGAGACCAACTCAAGTTAGACCTATACTGCACTGACAAAATTGAACTACCTGAGATAGACTTTTATTTTAAATGTAAATAAAAAAGGCAAAAAAAGCATAAATTACCCTAAAATTTTCACAGAATGTGTATTTGACCTTACATTATCAAAATATGTAAAAAGGTGATTTTTGGTAAAAATGTCACTTAGACCAGTATTGCGCTGAGCCATCGATTTGTCCTCTCCATGAAATTTAAGTAGAGGACATTTTAGAATACACACCTCAAATGTGTTGAATCAAGGTGACTTGATTTGCTCAATTTTTTTTGCCTTTAGCAGGCTGGTGAAAATGCCTGATCAGGCATTATGACGTAAAAACTCATACCTCTAGAAAAATAATAAAGATATTTCCATTAAACTTTGTTTAGTATTGATGCAATTCAAAGTGATAAGCCTTTGCCATCAGTATAGAGCTAGGCCTGCACTTCCATGGCCTGATTGATGGAGGTTCTATATACAGATTGATCAGTTGTTATACATTTTCTTAACCATTCCTCTGCTGAAAGTGATTATAGCCGTTGAATCTGGACAGCCTGCAATTCCAACTCTATATATGTTGATTTCAGTTTCAACCATTACAGCAAGTTATTTAGTCAGTATTTCCCAATTTCTAAAAATTCCCAATTATTTAATAATTATAGCTCTGAATTAAATGTAGAACCTCACTGTTTTTGTCACATGATTACATCAGATTTAGTCTATATCCATAAGAAATTTGTATTCCTTGATTGTTCAGGTACATAATGTGGAAGGAGCTATGGGTGTTGGCATTGTGCATGTGTCAATCTGTTAGTAAAGAACTGCCCTATAATGACGATGAATATGATAAGCAGATGCCTGGAAACTATTTAAACAGATTTCTCGTGCAAACTGACAGCTGGGAAACTGCACAAAATGTAGCACGTGATAATGGATTTGAACTTGTTGAAAAGGTAAGGTATAAATGATTGAATTCTGTGTAGTATTTTTATTTTCTAGCCAGGGGTTCTATGATATCATGGTACGTATATAAAATATCAATTTTTAGAGAAATATCATACACAAATGAGATTTTTCTTCTATTTGATAAGTGAATATTTGGTAAGTGTACTTTTTCCAAAAGGCAAAACAGGTTGTCACAAACTTATTTCAGAAGATCCAATTAAAAATGTCATTTTTAACCCTTTAAGTGCTGGACCCGAAAGTCTTTGCCACCAGTATAGAGCCAGGCCAGCCTGCACATCTGTGCAGTCTGACCAGGCTCTATACTGTTGGCTGACAAATTTTAAATATTCAAATTGATATCCCTAAAATTGATAATGGACAGTCCAAAAATGGAAGTTGGACAAGTCCATTTAACATATTCAGCATGTTCAGGGTTAAACTATTATCATTGTCTGCCAGTTTGGATGATTTCAGAAGAGGTTACTATGGTATTATGGTTATCCCCTAAAATGCAAGTAAGGAAAGATACAAATTTCCAACAGTTAACTTTTTTCAAACTATATGAACAGCCGATATATAGAGGATATTGAATGAGTGTAAGTTCAATACTGAATTTTTTGCACCAGTTGAATAAAATTATATTATTTGAGCCTCTAGCAAGCATAATACATGTACTATTTTATTCAACAAGTTCAATAAATTAAGTAATGAACTTGCACAAATTTAATTTTCAATTTTTCACCCCCCCCCCCCCCAAAAAAAAACAACAAACAAAAATAGACCGTTTAAAGTGTAAAAAAGTCATTTATCATTGACGCGCCTATAGTATAATGCTAACATTTAGTGCGTCTTTACACTATGTTTGTATAACGCTAATGACGTCACATCAAAATATATGCAAGGTCGTGCAATACCATTTTTACAGAGTTGCAAAATCGGCATGGGTGTGTGATAAGTCAATATATCGAATTTTAACATAAAAACAATTAAGGGAAATAGTAGTCAAATATGAAGATTTCATAAAATAGTTTTCTTACCACAAATATTTTCATTATTCACTAAGGCAGATGTTATGTGATTTAGTGTGATAGTTTTAAAGATAGTAGCATCTGCATGTGTTTCTTTTACTCGCAGTGGAAGAAACTGTAAATACTGTGATGTCATAGAACCCGTTTTATCATAGGAACAGAGTATACATTGATGACTTGACAAAAATGTGTCAGTATTACAGAATGAGAAGTATCAGTCTTAAAAAACAAGCAGGGTCTTAAAATTATGTTATTTACCAAACATCACTCCTGGCTTCAGGATGTTAGCTTGTTATTTTGTGTAAAAAATGAAGTGAGACAAATAGAGCCACATTATTAATGCACTATTCAATTGTAACCCCTGTGCTGCTAGTGCTAGGGATTGGGGAGGCAGTAAGTTTTTACATTCCATCTATCTTCACAGAAATATTTTCAGAATAATCTCCCCTTGAACTTTAAATTTTCCTTAATAAAATGTTATGTTTTTACTATAACTTCTTTATTTCTTAAGATATCTACTTCAAATATATGTTCCTTATCTGATCATCTGCATCAAGTATGACAAGATTCATATCTCATCTTAAGGAATATTTCCAGAATTATTCCCCTCTTGAACTTGGATATTTTTTCAATAATTAAGAAGAAGTGCAATGCACAAGAACTGGTACTCTGCATGTCTTATTTTTTGAGTTATTGCCCTTTGTTAAGTTTCATACTTTATTTTTGTCCAGGCCATTTCTCCAAATGTATAAAAGCTATGGACATGAAACTTCATAGGATGATATATGTCATTAAGAAGAAGTGCAGTGCAAAAGAACTGGTACTCTGCATTTCTTATTTTTTGAGTTATTGCCCTTTGTTAATTTTCATATTTTATTTTTGTCCAGGCCATTTCCCCTAAAGTATAAAAGCTATGGACATGAAACTTCATAGGATGATAGATCTCATTAAGAAAAAGTGCAGTGCACAAGGACCAGTACTCTGCATTTCTTATTTTTTGAGTTATTGCCCTTTGTTAATTTTCATACTTTATTTTTGTCCAGGCCATTTCTCCGAAAGTATAAAAGCTATGGACTTGATTATCTTCATAGGATGATAGATCTCATTAACAAGAAGTGCAGTGTACAAGAACTGGTACTCTGCACTTCTTATTTTTTAAAGTTATTGCCCTTTAGCAGTGTTTATAAATAACCTACATTTAAGAAGAAAATGCTTAAGTGACAACTATACTGTTCACAAGGCGACACATCCGACTCCCAGAGTTCTAGCTAAGATATATACATTGTATAACAATCATTTCATCATAAAACTTGTTTACTTATTAACATATTTGAGGTGAAGGCATTGTGCTTTACAATGAACAAATCTTGTTAACATTACACTTGACCAGACATAGACAGATAAATTTTCTGGAAGTTTACTGTTAGTTATCTATTTGGCTAGTTTTCAAATTTATCATGGTTAAGGAATTGGTTTTTAATGATTTGTAAAGTCCTCAATACTGTAATCTATGATTATGGCCTCATTGGTCAAGTGGTATCACAGGTGTTCAGCGTGTTGATTGGTGGCCCCCCCCCCCCCAATTGTTCCATACATTAAAATTCATATGATTTACTGTGGAATCCTATAATTACCATCAAATGCATCAGATCAATATTTCCAACCAATATGATTTTATAACACTGTAAAATAAACAGAGACATTGTATATCCTGTTTGGTTTAATTTTTTTAACCTGACATTTTGATGTTTTATAATAATATGATGATAGCATCTACCATATCATACGGCTGAATAATTCTTTACCCACAAACACTTTAAACTGAATTTAAATTTACTTGTTTCATGTTTACAGCTACACTTGTTTGTCTTGCTGCTATGTTTACCTGTATTGTGTTTACAAGTTCACTTGTTTGTCTTGATGCTATGTTTACCTGTATTGTGTTTACTGGCACACTTGTTTGTCTGGATGCTATGTTTACCTGTATTGTGTTTACTGGTTCACTTGTTTTTCTTGCTGCTATGTTTACCTGTATTGTGTTTACCAGTTCACTTGTTTGTCTTGATGCTTTGTTTACCTGATCTGACAGCATTTTTTCCACCTTATGCTGTCCTTTAAAACAGGCCCAACACAATCAATTTTATATTTTGCACCTCTGAGTACCAATCTAGTCAGATGAATCAATAAAGATGTTGCCATCTTCATATTTTTTAAAAAAACATTACATATTTAGTGTTCAAATGTACTCATTTAATGTTCTTAAACTAACTTACATTGAAATAATTTCTATTTTAATTAAATTACGGATTTATTACAGAAAACCAGTGAAGTTGGAAAGTTGCCATTTTTATAACCTTTACAGTGTTAACAATGTTTTGTGTTTATTAGGCCTTTTATAAGATCTGTTGTATAAACATTCACTATGTCAATTTATGAACACATTAGTAAAGTGTTGTTATTATAATTAGATTTTTATGGCAATATTGATTTTCACATGACTTGTATCCTATAACTCTCTTATAATTCTTTAAAATTAACCTTTAGACAGGCTCAGTGCAGACCAAAATCAGCCAGGATATCCATTATCATGGTATTTAGTCAGTACATATATGAAAAGAATAGTTTTTCCAGATTGAAAGATGGACAACTCCATTTAGGTATTCATTGTGGTATGAGTTATTTAAGCTATTTGAAAGCTGTTGATATTCATTTCAAGTTCTAATGTATTGTGCTTTTATACTGTTCTATGGATGAACATTTTTTTATACCCATATGCATATACATGGTCGTTTGTCCATAAATAGGGGGACATCTAACTGCAAAAAGAACAAAGAGTTGATTTCTTAACAATAGAATATAAAGAACCAATGGCCCTTTATTAAACAGAAGAAGATAAAAAAAATGAATGGCCCCTTATTTTCTATTGTCAGAAGTTCTGAAAAAGCAAGCCTTTAAGGCTTTTAAATGCCTATGCTGACATGGATGAACTTAGGTTTCTGGCAAGTTGTCATACTAATGACAAAAAGAGAAAACTGCACCACAGGGAAAATATGATTATTTTTCTGTTACAGCAATGGTCAAGCAATGAAGTGCCTATTATTGCTTAACAAATAGCTATTTTTGTATATTATGACACATTTTTGGTATTTTTTGTGGATATTTAGCCCTAATGTGTAATAGGAACTTCTTTTGGTAAACCCTCTGTTCGTCTGTCCGTCCACAAAAATGGATTCCGTGATAACACAGAAAGTACTGAAAATAATTTTATGAAACTTGCAATATGGGAAGATGGCAGTCTGGAGATAATAAACATCTTTTTCTTTTCTTCTTATGTTGGAAAATTTGGTTGCTATGGCAACATATAGTATTATGATATATGGCAAATGTAACACAAAAACTGGATCTCATGATAACGTAAAAAGTGCTGAAAATATTTTTATGACACTTAAAATATGGGTTGATGGCTGTACGGAGATTATGTATGTCAAGGTTTATAACTTTAGCACCAAAATGATTAGATTGTGGTAGAAACTTTCCACAAACTAACAACAGAATCAGTGCTTTAAGATGTTAATCATTCTGAATATACTCAAACCACAATTAAAATGGGGCTTACACCCCTAGGTACAGTGTTTTAAGCCTAGGTGTAGTGTAATGCCGAATTGTTTTCTATCTATACGTACAGCCGAAAATGTTTGTGTTGTAAAATTATCTGAACGAGGAGGAAGCGCAACACTGTGAGCTTGAGGCAGTAGTATTACTGTAAATTAGCTGGTTTTATTCTGGAATTATCCAATAAACACTTTTTTACAATTGAACATATTTATTAAAGTAAGAAGTCATCTGATTACATTAATATAACATATCTAGTCAAATAAACATATTTTTTATAAAATGGGGAAAATTAGCTTAAATTTATGGTAAAGTCAAAAGTATATTACTCGCTTTCTGTGTGAAAGGATGCCAAATAATTAATTAATATGTACAAAAATTTACTTCACAAAAAAAACCATTGAAAAATAATGACAAAAATGTAAAACTTCTAAAAATCTAGTAGTTTACTCAGATTACTATATATATTTTTTTTAATTTGATAAGAATTCTTCTTTATTTCATAAGTTTTTTACAAATGCCTTTTTTATGAAAAATCAGTATTGTAGAATGAAAATTACTGACGTCTTTAAAAAATGACTAAATGCTTAAAGGGTAAGTACAGTTATAAAGTATTTGATAATGAAAATTGGAAATACAATTATTTATGACAACAAAGTATAATATTTATATAATATTAAAACAACGTGAACTTAATAAAGAACATGAAATAACATACATATTTACATGTACAGTACATAGATATGAACATAACATAACTATTTTTTAAAACAATATTTTTTTTATAATAAATGTAGAAAGTCACATACCTGGAATTATCCAATAAACACTATTTAACAGTTGAACATAGTTTATTAAAGTAAGAAGTCATCTGAACCTAAAAAGGGGTTCCTTGGCTTTTATTAGCCACAGACTTCTAAGGTGACAGATTGCATTGAAAAAGAGAACCTACTCTAGGAAATTACTTAATCAGTTTTCTATTTGAAACTGTGAAAAATTAATTAAAAGATTTTGGTTAAACCAACAGCTAAAATGGTTTTAGCTTGAGGTCTGATTAACAGCTGATTAGTAAACAAACATTGAAAAAATTAACAATAGACTTCCAGGATATGTAGTTGTAAGTAAGTAGGTTTTGACAGCTAGAGTATTTTAAAGCTTTATTTCAATGGCAATCTGTTATAACACCTATATTTTAATCCCAAGTATGTGTTTCTTATATGAAAAGTTTGGAAGAAAAAAAAGTCATGAAAAAAAAAACATTTCCTTTCAAAAAATTCAATAAACAATATTTGTAGTGTAATATTTGTAAATACAAATACTTGAAAATTCCCTGAAAAGAATTTACATGCAAATATGAGGCATAACAGTAGTAAAGAAGTTAGGTTTACCTCAAAATGTATTTAATCCTGAAAAAAAATCTTTAGAAGAAACCTAAGTTTAAAAATGTGTTAAACTTTTGAAAATATTTAAAAAAACAACAAAGACAAAAATTGTTTAACCTAAGTTTAAAAATGTGTTAAACTTTTGAAAATATTTAAAGAAACAACAAAGACAAAAATTGTTTAACCTAAGTTTAAAAATGTGTTAAACTTTTGAAAATATTTAAAAAAACAACAAAGACAAAAATTGTTCAAAAATAAACTTATGTTTAAAGGAGATATAGTCTTCTCCTTATCTTAATGACCGGTGTCTAAGGAGTAAACTGTAATGTGCATTTACCACTTCCATCCATGAAAACGCAATCAAACTGAGCCCAATTTATGTCAAGTTAGGTGACCTCAAGGGTTTCCTCTTTTGAATTTTACATTCTAATTAAAAAATATGTACAGTGTACACAATTTAGGGCTAAATCTGTTAAATTACCTACAACTCTTTTTAATCTGTAACCTGATTTGAATATAAACAAACTGTGTTTTTTTCCAGATACCAGAGCTAGATATGTATCTCCTGGAACATGCAGAAGTTAGTGGAAGATCAAAAAGAAGTGCTGTTGATTATGTTTCAAGATTGACTCAAGATTCAAGGGTATGTCCTATTATCCCCCCAAAACAGTTTCAATAGAATGGGTTATAGGTCAACCAAAGAAATATGGATTCAGCCATAACTCAAAAAGTACAAAAGCTTAGTTGATGATATTTTGAATCTGGATAGAGGACCAAATGAAGACAATTATGCATACCATTTTATTTCTATTATGGCTCCATCAGTGTGGGAACATTTAGTGTTACCCTTGTAGATGTGTGTGACTGTGTGTAAAAGTATGTTCATTGTAGTTTGTGACCGGTTCATAACATCTGCATGCGTGATGCCAAATATCTCGGCCATAGCCTTTGTCGGTTCAGTTTTTACTATAATTATGCATTGTACAAAAAAGGAAAACTAATGACCCTAGGCAGTGCAAATTTTGACCAGCCTAAGATTCATTTAATATATGTTTATAGTTAAACTTAAAAGAATCTTCTCCTCTGCACCCACAAAGGCTAGAAATAAGTTATTTTGAATGAAACATTGCAGCATGTTTCAGTTAAAACATATACAGTATATATATATTATGATATAACATGAGTACAGCATATGAACAATATAATATACATAGAATATGGATCAGCATATGTGATGCAAAATTACTCATTATTAATGTTGTTGTGATTTTTGTGACAATATATATATATATATGTATATATATATATATTTGTGGGTATGTGTGTTTAATGGACACATGTCTAATTTTATTGCTCTTGAAGGGTAAAATAAATAAAAAATAAAGATGACATGAATGAGAGTGATTTTATGTATTAATTTTTTTACTACACAGGTAAAGTTTGCAGAACAGCAAGTTACACTTAAGAGGGTAAAACGATCACACATTCTGCATGACAAGCAACTGGAGTTTCCCATCGAGGACATCAAGGACAACAGTCAGTATTACCGTATTCGTGACAAATTTGATACAAGAGATGGCAATTCATTGATGTTTAATGACCAATACTTTAGTGATCAGTGGTATTTGGTAAGTAAATCTTTTCACTTTGATTTAAGCAAGACTTTTAAATGAAATGATTCACGATAATAATGGAAATTTATCAAAATTAGGCAATATTACAAATATCTAATGAATATGAAATAATTTTTTCTTTTATAGACAAAAAGGTGAAATATTTTAAGCATGATGTTTGTCTATGACAACAGTTGCATTGCCTAAAAACAATAGAATTGTTTTTCATGAAGTACACAAGTTTTATTCTTTCTTTATTTTTCTTTAATGTGTCTGTTGTTGTAATGAGGTGTTATGATATCTAAAAGCTAGATTTCAGCATACAGTCAATGTCAGTCAGTGTCTGGCCAGACTGCATTGATTCATACATGAGAAGGAAATTCACTATTGTCATGACCATTATAGAGTTATGCTCATCAAGACACCAGTTTAATTTTTCTGGACATACATTAATTTATATTAATTTGAGACAATTTTGAGTAGATTTCTTGAGATGATATGTTTTATATTCATTTGCAGGACAATACAGGTCAAACAGGAGGTGCTGAGGGAATGGATATAAATGTTATACCAGCATGGAATAGTGGTTTCACTGGTCGTGGGGTAGTTGTTACAATATTAGATGATGGGATAGATCACAATCATCCTGATATACGTAGAAACTATGTGAGAAGATCTTTTTTTAAACAACGTTTACATGTATAATAATGATAATTGTACACAAATCTCCTCTGTTAGTTAATAGAAGTTAAGATTATGACTCTGATATTTTGTGTATATCAATGTTCTGTGACACCAACCTATCACCTTTGGTGACACTTTTCATCGTTCATTTTGTTATTTTAAATTATTTACAAAGATTAATTTAATTATTGGACACTGTGAATGAAGATCATTTCAATTCATGCCAGTGTCTTTGAATTCTTTCTAATAAGAAAACTATCCAGATAGTTATGGAACTTCTATGGTTCTACTCAGGTGCCCATTTTTGCCAGAAATAATTCACAAAGGTAAAAGCTCAGTCACCATATGAATTATACTGTGTAGGTGTGACATATAAGCCAAACAAACAAAAAAATTCATATTGTTAAAGCACCTATAGTCATTAGTCTAAATAACAAGTCTAGTATTAACAGCTGTAAAGTCCTGGAAGAGATTGAAATAATACTGTGACTTTACATTACTATAACCATATGTCCTTATCTGATAAAAGTACTTTTACATTTATTAAAATTTCATTTGTATTTTATCATATTTCTCCTGTTTCAGGATGAGAGGGCAAGTGCTGATTTTAATGACAAACATGATAAAAATAATGATCCTGCACCAGATAAATCCAGACGTGGAAATAGGTACTTGTACTTGTTTTTGTATGGGTTTTTGTTAACTTTTAATTTGAGATAAGGGAGGTAACACAATTTGAAATTATCAAATTGTAAATATTTCTGACAAAATTTAAAGAAATTCAGACCTTGGAATATACTGGGTACACATTATTATGTGTAAACATAGATATTCAAACTTTGAGGTACCATGATATACATGTATATTATATTGATGATACTACTTTCAAAAATTTGACATTGATGTTTGTTAAATAATTGCGAGGTTTATAGAATCAAACTTATAAGTGCTTATTTCTGCTAACTTAATATTTTTCAATTTTTTGTAAAAACAAGGTAGTCTTACATTCCTGCATTCCCTATTTCTTCTACAATGTGAACCTTGCATTGATGTGTTTTATTTCTGCAGCTCTATGTCCATGGTTTGAAGAAAATGATTGATATCATATTTATTTGACAGTTCTTTCAAATTTAACAGATAACCACTATTATTATTATAATGTATAAATAGATTCGAAATGCCTTTCCCTGATTGGCTAACAAGCAATTTTTTGTAAAAAATAACAGGTCAATATCAGTAAATTCCACTGTTTTTTTTCCTAAAAATAGATTTTCAGAGTATGTTCACCGTTTTTATGTCGCCTCTACGGAGTAGTGGCGACATATAGGGATCACTTCTCCATCGTCTGTCTGTCCGTCTGTCTGTCCGTTCGTCCGTCTGTCACAAAACTTGTCCGGACTACTCCTCATAAACTACTGGTGCAATTTCATCCAAACTTTACAGGAATGATCAGTACCAAGTCTAGTTGTGCATATTGTCAGCATTTTCCGGTTCAATGATTTTTGTCAGAGTTATGGCCCTTTAATAATTTTTATTTTTAAAGTTTGTCCGGACTACTTCTCTTATACCACTAATGCAATTTCAATGAAACTTTACAGGATTTATCTGTAGCTCAAGTCCTTGCGCATATTGCACGGGTTTTCCGGTTGAATGATCTTTAGCCGAGTTATCGCCCTTTGATAAAAAGGTGTTTTTTCTGTGTGTTGCCAGACACACAAAAGCTTGTCCGGACTATTCCTCATAAACTTCTGGTGCAATTTCATCCAAACTTTACAGGAATGATCAGTATCAAATCTAGTTGAGCACTGTCCATCTGTCTGTCCGTCTGTCACAACATGAAATTGGCCATCATGAGGCGACACATGTGATTACTGATCGCTCTTGTTTCTTCTAAAAATAGATTTTCTGGAAATCCCCCGAATGACGCGAGACTATGACGTCACGTTACGCCAAGTTTGTTGTTATTATTCAGAAAAAAACGTTGAGTGACTCGTAAATAAGAGTCAAATTAGTCTATTTAAGTTACCGTATTAACACTTAAAAGAACAATACGAATTAGCGTGCCAATGCACTCACTAAAAAGAAAGTGCCAAAAAGTAGACAAGCTAAAAAATAATGATTTCCGTTGTATGCAATTGCAAATTTTATAAGCCATATAAAAGCTATTTATAAATTATATAATATAACAGATTCTGAAAAATTAATATTGACCTCGGCATATAGGGATCACTTCTCCGTCGTCTGTCTGTCCGTCTGTCCGTCCGTCCGTCCGTCACAAAACTTGTCCGGACTACTCCTCATAAACTTCTGGTGCAATTTCATCCAAACTTTACAGGAATGATCAGTACCAAGTCTAGTTGTGCATATTGTCAGCATTTTCCGGTTCAATGATTTTTGTCAGAGTTATGGCCCTTTAATAATTTTTATTTTTTAAGTTTGTCCGGACTTCTTCTCTTATACCACTAATGCAATTTCAATGAAACTTTACACTATTGATCTGTAGCTCAAGTTCTTGCGCATATTGCACGGGTTTTTTCTGGTTGAATGATTTTTGGCCGAGTTATTGCCCTTTGATTAAAAGATGTTTTTTTTCTGTGTGTTGCCAGATACACAAAAGCTTGTCCGGACGGCTCCTCATAAACTACTGGTGCAATTTCATCCAAACTTTACAGGAATGATCAGTACCAAGTCTAGTTGTGCATAATGTCAGCATTTTCCGGTTCAATGATTTTTGTCAGAGTTATGGCCCTTTAATAATTTTTATTTTTTAAAGTTTGTCCGGACTACTTCTCTTATACCACTAATGCAATTTCAATGAAACCGTATTAACACTTAAAAAGAACAATACGAATTAGCGTGCCAATGCACTCAATAAAAAGAAAGTGCCAAAAAGTAGACAAGCTAAAAAATAATGATTTCCGTCGTATGCAATTGCAAATTTGATAAGCCATATAAAAGCTATTTATAAATTATATAATAAAACAGATATGTACTTTTTAGCTGTTGAATATGATGTGATATGTACTGAAAAATTAATATTGACCTTGGCTATCGCCTCGGTCAATATCAATTTTTCAGTACATATCACATCATATTCAACAGGTAAAAAGTCCATATTTGTATATGATTTGTTATCATAGCAATAATTATTTATAAATTCTCTTCAAGCCGTGATTAATACCGCTACATGTATATGAAAGTACATAGCAGATTACACAATATGGCAATGTATTATTGTAAAAGCTCTCAGTAGAAAATAATAGGCAAAATATAAAGCCAAATACAGACATAATGGATTAAATTTCTTCTGGATTTAAATCTGCAGTGGTATTGATTCTACTGAAATAGCAGGAAAAAGTCCTGGCAAAAATAAGTACTAATTATGTTTATACATGCACATAGCTGTGAAGTAATTTTTGTTTGTCTTCATATAAAGTAATTGTTGTATTAAAAATTCATTATAAAGGTCTGTCTGATATGTTATATTGTCCATGTATAACTACAACCATTTATACCAAGCCATATAACATGTCTGATATGTTATATATTGTCCATGGATAACTACAACCATTTATACCAAGCCATATAACATGTCTGATATGTTATATTGTCCATGGATAACTACAACCATTTATACCAAGCCATATAACATGTCTGATATGTTATATTGTCCATGTATAACTACAACCATTTATACCAAGCCATATAACATGCCTGATATGTTATATTGTCCATGTATAACTACAATCATTTTTACCAAGCCATATAACATGTCTGGTATGTAATATTGTCCATGTATAACTACAACCATTTATACCAAGCCATATAACATGCCTGATATGTTATATTGTCCATGTATAACTAAACCATTTATACCAAGCCATATAACATGTCTGATATGTTATATTGTCCATGTATAACTACAACCATTTATACCAAGCCATATAACATGCCTGATATGTTATATTGTCCATGTATAACTACAACCATTTATAGTAAGCCATATAACATGTCAGACATCTATATAACTAAAAATATACAATAAACAACAAATAAAAGCCTGTCTTAGGCACCATGATATTTACATCAATATACAACATATACTGACCTCCTTTTTTTGATATTCATGAATGATTTTTTTTTCAAACATATTCTCAACCATTTATAATTATGAAGTTCAGTTTATTTTACTATTTAATGATACAAGAATTGGTGTTCTGTAAATAAATCAATATAATTACTGTATACTGCAGCTATAGTCACTACTGGAGTTATAAAGGTAATATTGCGTGTGGTAAGGTATTGAATGTGGTCATTGCACCTATATGTTATGATTCGTATATCAAAATCTATGACAATATTAACTTTATTAACTTTACTTTCATTCTAAAAAACTGTATGGTAAATTTGTCAAAATAAAAATGAAAAAAAAAAAAGTACTATGGCCAATGCATTTTTCTAAATTAAATTTGTAAAACCAACATTATGTAAAATGAGGTGTAATTTTGACACATGTTTTATGTGTTGTAAAAATGTTGAACATTTGAGTGCTTACTAAACTGATACCAATACAGAAATATATTTATATTATAATTTTCTTTTTCATAGTTTGGCCTTCCTCTACTGTGTCCAATAGTGTGCTTTCTCCTCTGACAGCTCTTGTAACATGACTTTTCAATCCCTAACTGATAAGGCATTCCAAATACTTAAAGAAATTAAGCTGTAGTTAAAGATAATAAAGCAAAAAAGTAAATATTTTTATTGAAGAGATGTCATTAAGGGGTCACAATGTAAAAGTTGTGTTTCCTTATTCTAAAACCTTCTTTTTCCAAAATAAATTATGATAAGTATGGAATTAATTAATAAATTATGATTGTTTAGAATTTAGTAATAATGGATTCTAGCAGATCGAAAATCTTAAGTGTGTCATGGATTTTGATATATATCATAAATATTTCTTCTGTCTGTGTTGCATTGTGGGAGACTTTTTATATTTACTTTTGAGTGAAATGAGCATTTTTGACATGAAGCATAAAATTGGTGTACAGACAAACATTCAAACTGATGGCTTATAATGTTGTTACTGTATTTATGTTGCTTATGTCACCTTTATGTTGTTTATCAGATTTTTTTTGTTGTTTTTCGATTCATTTGTTTTCATTTTCTTTTACTGTATGGAAAAGTGTTTATTATATTGCTGAAAGGCCAGCTATTATTATTCATGATATTCAAATTAAGATTTTTAGAATGAACATTTAGGTATATAAACAGTCATGTATGATAACTTTTGATTAGCATATTTGTGTTTTTTGTTCAGCATGGTGACAATATTTAACAATATATGGTATTGGAAATGTGTACATAAATGCTTGTTTATGTCTTTCTGATATAATTTGTCATGTATCTAAATACATATATTGAGATTTGTATTGGTGACTTTCAATTACACAAACTGACTTAATTAAGACCATATTTTAACTTAACTAATTTGTGTCTGTTGCATAACTTTATTGGGGTGAGATTAGCAACCTCACTTCAGTGAGCCTTGGCGGCCTTGGCCCTGAGGAAAGAGGATCAGAGGCTACAATGCTTGTATCTGTCAAGTAGTTTTCATCTTTAAATGTGTACAACTAAATAATAATTATGAGACATATTGTTACATTTCTATTCAATTTGAGCTTGAATTAAGGTGTTCAACAACTTTTTTTTAAATTTCACATTTACTTAATTATTAATTTAACCCTTTACTTCATGAGCATATTAGGGGAGTCCGTGGCCGAGTGGTTAAGGTCGTTGACTTCAAACCACTTGCCCCTCACCGCTGTGGGTTCGAATCCCGTCAGGGACTTTGGATTCTTTCATGTGAGGAAGCTAATCCAGCTAGCTTACGGAACGTCGGTGGTTCTACTCAGGTGCCCGTTCGTGCCTGAAATAATGCACGGAAGGGCACCTCAGGTCTTCCTCCACCAGTAAAGCTGGAACATCGCAATATGACCTATCCTGTGTCGATGTGACGTAAAACCCAAAACAAACAAAAAATCATGAGCATATTGTGAAAAATGACTGTTTTCATTGAAAAGCCTCCAGGTACAAGTTCAAACTGCAATGAAACTATGAAAAATGCTCCAATACTGATGAAACTTGGCACAAATGTTGACTGGATCATAGCCTTTGTAACAGCATTCTCAATGTTATATTTCCTGTTACCATGGCAATGGGAGATGTCTCAAAATTGCCAAAAATCACTATTCTGCATTTTTTTATTTTTCATCAAAACTGATTTCAAAGTGCTGCAACTTCTCAATGGATTGAGATAGAGTAAAAGGCTTTTCAGTGTTGGTTACACTTTACCTTACGATTGACCTGGGGTCATTTTTAGCCTGTCATTTGTCAAAAATTTTCTTTGCGATGAGGAGGGCTGCTGCCCTGCCCCCCTTCAAACCCCAAAACAGATGGGGGCACATCCCCCTTCTGGCAACCCTTTGAAGTACCTTTTTGATAGGGGGCAACACCGAAAAAGTGATCAACATTTCTTAAATGAAAAACAGTGTTTGGGGCCTAAACAGGGCATTTTTTCACTGTTTGAGACCTCAAAAAAGGGGGGGGGGGCGAAAAAGGCATCAAAACACGTCTATATGAGGTAAAGGGTTAATACTTAGTTAAAAAAAAAATGTAATGTTATAATAACAATCGTTTTTACACTGTTATAGGCAGAATAAATATAGTTACTCAAAAGTAACCAAAAAACAAATTTTAAATAACAAATAAAAGTCAGAAATGTACTGTACACTCAAAAATAAAAAGAGACATTGATGTGACAATAATTTATAGATCATATAAAAATTGTTTATTTGGCATATTATATAAACATGTGTATTGCCATGCAAATATCCAATCTTAGTTCATTCTGAGAAGACAAATAAAATAGCTTAAAGAGAATAATTAAGATGTTTAAATAATCTCACTTTTTATTTATAACTTGATTGTTTTGAACTAATAATTATCAATTTTAATTTATAGAGGTACTTACATGTAAGCAAATGACTGTATAAGTTAAGATGTTATTTTATGTTATGTTATAACCATATAATTATCACTGTTCTATATTATAAACTTATTAGATGTAATTAATTCACTGACAGAAGAACAAAGCTAAAATGAAATATGATAATAACAGGGTAACATTTTACAAATTAGGGCCGCATTAACTATTTTGGGGGGGCTGGATTGACCAGTTATTTGGCAGGGTTGACCAGTGAATATTGCTGTGAGGTTGCATTAACTAATTTTGAGACAAAATTCAAGGTCATATTGATTAACTGGGGGCCAGATTAATTGAAATTTAGTCTGAAAAATGTTATTAGTTTATAATACAGGTATTGGTGGAATTCAATTACTTCTTTGTCTTTTTTTTCAGTTGAGGCTTAGAGACTGAAAATTCTTTGATCTAGAAATAAGCAGAAAATTACAAATAACAAAAAAAATAATTGTTGACTTTTTAAAATTTTTTCCCTATAAAATGTTTCTGTTATCATATTTCTAAGGCCAGGCAACATTTATATTATATTTTATATAAGAGTTTTCGTCAAACATCTTGACCTTAAATCTAAATGGCCATATCAAATCATTTACTTATGATTGCATTATAACCTTTACTAACAATCATTCAAGTTTACAGAGTTAAAATAAAATAAAAGAATAACCAATGTTATCTAATATTGACAGTCATGGTACAAGATGTGCTGGGGAAATAGCTGCGGAGGCTAACAATGGAAACTGTGGAGCTGGGGTAGCATATGAATGCAGCATTGGAGGTGAGTCTTTAATTATACAGTGCTCCTCAATAATAGGCAACTCAGACATAGTGCACTCCTGGATAGAAGAAGCTATCCCATTTTTTCCTCCTTTAAATTTTATGAAATTTTCAGTAGCATACTTGCTTATCCAAAATCAGAAAATAAGGTCCCAAACAACCAATATTAGAGACAGGTTTCCACACGTTGTCAAGCTCACACAATACATTCTTGTTTATTCAAACAATAAATGATAATTCATAGAAACTTGTTAGTGAAATAAAGTGTCTACAATTTATAATTGTGACATTCCAAATTTGCTACATTTGGATATATAAGTGGAAATATCTACCATATTACATTAAAAGATTTAAATTAGTGCTTATCTCAAAAGAGATGGAAACATGAATTGCAATTAGCAACAGATTAGATTTAAAATTAATAAATTGTCAGAACTCCATGTAATAAACTTAAGTTTTTAAAATAGATGCATAAGGAAATGTGTATTGAATTAGGATATGGATCTGGATCTTAAGCTTTAGGCATACATAGTGAACTCAAGAGATATTAGGGCAAGTTGAAAAACTTAACTTTCAACAAAAACAAAGGGAAACTTTGCTGATAAACAATTTCTAAAAATCAAGTGTCATTGCTATGTATAAGTTCTTTATTTGAATGCTTCTTATTCCACTGAGTTTATTGTTTCAGGTATTCGTCTTCTTGATGGAATGATCACTGATGAAATGGAGGCGAAGGCTCTGTTGTATGAGTACCAGTATGTTAGTATATACAGTGCTTCCTGGGGACCACATGATGACGGCAAAACCATGGAGAGACCAAAGCCTGCATGTGTTAATGCACTGAAGACAGGTGTTACAAAAGTTAGTAGCTTTACCTTTAAATCTTCTTTTATTTAACCCTTTTTAGCTCGACTTTTCTATGAAAAGGGGAGCTATCCTACTCGCCCCGGCGTCGGCGTCGGCGTCGGCGTTGGCGTCACACCTTGGTTAAGTTTTTCGTACCACCCCACTTTATTTCAGAAGTATTACAAGTATGGCTTTGAAACTTACCATACTTGTTCACCATCATAACCTCCATCTACAGACAAGAGTACATAACTCTGTCAAGGTTTTTGACAGAATTATGGCCCTTTTTTGACTTAGAAAGTGTATTGAGCTTGGTTAAGTTTTTTGTACCACCTCACTTTATTTCAAAACCATTGGAGGTATTGCTTTGAAACTGACCATACTTGTTTACCATCACGACCTTCATCAACAGACAAGAGGACATAACTCTGTCAAGGTTTTTGACAGAATTATGCCCCTTTTTGACTTAGAAAATACATTGAATATGGGTAAAATCCACTTATTGCCTTAACCCTTTGAGATATTGCTTTGAAACTTTTAATGCTATTTCACATCATTACCCCCATCTGTACGCAAGAGAAGGTAACTCTGTCAAGGATTTGTTTTAAAAATTAAGGCCTTTTATCGACTTAGAATCTTGGTTAAGTTTTTAGTACCAGTCCACTTTTTGACTGAACTGTTTGAGATATTAATTTGAAAGTTGGAATACTTGTTTACAATCATGATTCCCAAACATGTCCAGGAGAAGGTAATTCTGTCAAAGATTTTATTTGAATTATGGCCCTTAACTGTCAATGTTTTGTATTATAGGCAAGCACTAAAAAACTTAAAAAATCTAAAAAAATTCATTCCTATCCACTTGTTCACTTTACCATAAATTGATAAAATTTATCTATTACTTGTATTATAAGGTAACTATAATACTTTCACATACAAAGTCAAATCTATATATTATGCTGATTGTACAAAAATATACTGCTTCCTTGGCATAGATTTCTTGAAAAATTATGTTATTATGTCATTTACCAAGGTGTTCTGAGTGACGTAAAAATACCTTATTCTCTCAAAGTGGGTTTAATACTATTAAATTTATTTAAGGCTCAACTCAGTTTTTTTTTCTTTCTTACCAGCCCTCTTTTGACTTAAACATTTCAAACTTTGCTGCAGTGTTCAAGGGTATCACACAATTCAGTAAAATAATTCTTCACTAAATATCTTAATGCTCATGGCCATTGTTCACTTTAAAAATACAGAGATTCTTGTATTGCCTTTTACTGCAAAAACTTTTTTTATTGGCAAGCAATAAAAAAGTCGAGCGCGCTGTCTTACGGACAGCTCTTGTTTACAACTATCATTGCATAATAAAATTATTTGTTATTCTTTAATCAGATCTAGAGATCTGTGGTCAAAGATTGTCTTCTTTCAATTTCTAAGTATTCAATTGTATTTTTGGCTTGACTATTTGAAGTTTAGTGGTGATACCCTAAAACCATTATTTTTACATTGTTAAAATCATGTTTGCCCTTTATAAAGGAGGTAAACATTTATTTCTTTCTGAGGAATTTAAAGAGGCATTTTTAGCCATGTTTTACAACTGCTTGATTACATCTTAAACTCCAGAAGAAGAAGTAGAATGTATATAAAATAAGGAAGTGATATTCATGAAATGTTATCAAAATCATTTCTGACAATAAAACCTTTATTGGACAAGGCTTGAAGAAGCTGTGTATTAGTTTGTATTGTTCTCAAGAATCCATGATAAGCTCATATTACTGTAATGAAAGTTTGTATACGGTTTCATAGCAAAAATCTCTGAATGTTTTCAGGGTCGTAATGGCCTAGGAAATATCTACGTGTGGGCAACAGGAAATGGTGGTGGGTATGGAGATATGTGTGGGGCAGATGGTTATGTATCCAGCATTGAGAGTATCTCTGTCCAGTCACTGTCTGACAAAGGTCAGAAACCATTCTTTGGTGAGATATGCACATCAACAATGATTTCAGTACCAACAGGAGGTGAGCCTACTCAAGAAGAAGAATTAGATGCTTCAAAAAAAATTAAAGTGGTAAGTTCAGTTAAGGATCAAAGTCCAGACTGAAAATCCTGTTTGGCCAAATATGGCCTGTTTCTTATAAGGATAAATCAATCAACCAAAAGTGATTTGCCTTTACTACCAGTATTTATCCAGACTTAGCTTTGCTTACCAAATTTTTATCTTAATCCCTAGATTTGATATTAGACAGTTCCAAAAATGGAAGCTTGGCAAGTCAATTTATGGAATTCAGCAAGTGGACCAAATAGCTAATTTACTGGTGGAACAGATATCATTATTACAATTTATCATATAATTTTGCTCTCCATTGGCTTGGGATATAGTAAAAGTGTCTTCTTTCCATCTATTTGTCTTACTTCCATCTGTTTTTGTTTGGAGCTTAACTTAAAAATTGCTTACGGAACGTCGGTGGTTCTACTCAGGTACCCGTTCGTGCCTGAAATAATGCACGGAAGGGCACCTGAGGTCTTCCTCCACCAGTAAAGCTGGAACGCCGCGATATGACCTATACTGTGTCGATGTGACGTAAAACCCAAAACAAACAAGTAACTTGAAAATTATTTGAGATATCATCTTGAAACCTTATAGGTGGACATTAATCACTGAAGTAGAAATTGCTGCCCTCTACACTTCATTATTTCTTAGTTATTGCATTTTGTTATTTTCATTTTTCTGAACTATAAATCATGAAATACTCTGTATGTGTGTTTGGCCCTATTTTGAGCATAACTACAAAAGTACAAACTTTATACACTGACAGAGGATGTTTAAAGGAAGTGCAATGAGTAAGAACAATATCTCTACCTTGCCTATTTTAAAAGTTATTCCCCTTTATCAGATTTTCTTTACTCCATTCCCCCTTTTAACAGTAGTCAAATAGAAACATATCATACCTATACTGATAATGAACATTATATAATTTTATAAACCTTCTCTTCATTGTCTTATTTATCGTCCATTTACTTAATTGTACTCAGCTTGACCATAATTATACAGCTTAATCTCTCCAGGAAACCTCCAGGTAACTTCTTCCCATGGAGCATTGGGGATTAACCAGGTGTAACATGGCTCTTGTTATAACCTTGAATTTTGTTTGACAGGGAATTTTGCACTTTTTGACTGCTTCTTGTTCATTGTTAACTTGACAAGTGACTCTACCATTAGCCAGTCTCATCTGTAGTTCTCAAAATATTTGTGTTACTTTAAAAAGGTTAATTTACATAAATTGTGTTGTGTTGTTATGGCAATAGGTGACAACAGATCTGGATGGAGGTTGTGTGGAGAACTTTGAGGGGACATCAAGTGCAGCTCCACTGGCCTCAGGTTGCTACTGTCTACTCCTTCAAGCCTGGTAAGTAATAATGTTCTATATTGTATGCAATATGTTCCTATCTCTCTAAAGTCAATAACTTGAAATGTTGATGTTATAATTTATTTAATCTTGAGTACAGGTGTTTTAGGCAGATAATTGTTAATTATTATTGGAATACATGTGATTGAAATGTTGGAATAACTTTTGTGTAATTTATTACCTTGAATACTTGATTTTGCTTTTATGAAAAAAGAAAAGTTAAAAAATGTTCTATTCAATTTTAATCTGGTTTTGAGGTATTGAATTGATTTTTTGTAGAAGATGAAAAACTGTTTAAGGACTGTGTGATATAGCTTTGCATATCAATTGCAGTAAAGTTACCATTCTAAAGTCATGATTAAGATAGTGTATTATATCTGTTTTGTTTTCAGTCCTCTGTGTACATGGCGTGATGTACAGCATATTACAGCACGTGCTGCACGTATGCCAACAGTTGATGTAACATGGACTTTAAACGGAGCTGGTTTCCACGTAAATAGTAAATTTGGCTTTGGTATAATGGACTGTTCTAAAATGGTGGAGATTTCTCAAACCTGGGTGACTGTACCAGAACATCATGTTTGTGAGACTGATACTACAGTTGTTGACAGGTTATAGCTTAAACTTTAATTTGATTTTAGTTATGAAGTTACCTTCTATAACCCTTACTACACATAATGGACCTGTCTATCTTTCAATCTGGACAAATTATTTATCGATTTTAGAGAAAATTTCAAACTATATACTGACAAAGAGTGACCAGTAGTGAGTACAGACAATGATCAGTTGTCACAGATGTGCTGGCTGATGTTGGTCTACACTGGTCACATGGGTAGTCTCAATGGCCGTCAGCAGGCTACAGGTTAAATATGGAAGTTACCATTGTTCATCAAAGGGATATTCACTGTAAATAAAATAAAACTGATACTGAGCAGCCATCAACAGTCTTATAGCACTATCTCAATCAGTTTAAATTTGTACAAGGTTACAAGTATTTAAAAACTGTCATTAAGTTAATCATCTTTCTTCCCTCTGACATTATAGTTAAAAGAAAAAGATTATTTATCATTATTAAATCATTATTAAATTTTATGCAACACTCTGCATTTCATTGATATCGCTTGACATGAAATATTTTATCAGTAATGTCTGTCAAGTGATATTCTATACATCAAAATGGATGAAGACTATACTCTATATATCATCAAAAGTATATCCTATATTTCAACAAAATTAATGTTGTATAATATTCTGTTTATTAGAAAAATATCCAGTGACAGTTGTGTGAAGAGGGAGGTAATGTTTGATGGTTGCCAAGATGATCGATCACATAGTATTAACAGCCTTGAACATGTTCAGTTGCTATTTAAAGGGTCGTCTGGTCGTCGTGGTAATGTTGAAATATCTATAGTGTCTCCTGCAGGAACTAGGTATATATCAATCTTTCTGTGTAAAATTTATAAAATTTTAATCTTACTTTTAGAAATGAATTATTTATTTGCACACAATATTCTTAAGTATTTTGATTAATGAATGTAAAACAGGCGAAAGGGTAATTTAAAAAAATACTGTGCATCTACAAAGGCACTTATGCATATAGAACAGTCTCATATCTTTCTGTACTAATATAGGTAGAAATAATCATATAATGTTAACAGTGCCATTTTGACATATACCTGCCCAATTCCCTTCATTTTCCCTCGAAAAACAATAAAATGACAAAAGTAGGATCTGAAAGGATGAATAGCTGCAAGATACTCTGATCCTATAAAAATAATAATATTAAACAATTTTTTCAGAGATTTCTACCTGTATCCCTTTGCATTATTGTCTTTCATTTTTTTTAATCAAGATCAGAATTATTGACAAGACGGCCTCCAGATGATAGTGATGAAGATATAGATTTTGTGTTTATGACCGTACACAACTGGGGAGAGAATCCGGCTGGCAAATGGATTGTTGAAGTATGTGATAACCCTGGTAACGTGTCAGATCACCGTGGCAACACTATATACTGGGAAAGGTGAGGAGAACTTTTGTCAGGGCTAGATGCAGTGTTTAAGTGATATCATTATCTTCATGTCCAGGAATTATATTTGTTAGAACCGTCCACTACTCTCACTTATAACAAATGTGTTGTTTCTGCTGAGATTTGTGTAATGGTGCTTACACCTCACACAACAAACAACCAGTTGTTATATACTTGTAGAACAGAGAAATATTTGTTAAACAGTCCTCCAAAAATGCTTCTAGATGATCCACTTATTTGGGCTTCCAGTATTAAGGATGCTTATCAAAAAAAAAGATAAAAAATATTTTGATAACTTTGTTTCTAATGTAATATAGTTGTATCTTCTTATTTGATTACATGTAGTTAAATTTTTTGTTAACTAGATCCTTTTAGAAGTTTTTCAGTTTTTGTGTAAAATAGTTTTCACATATGATATGTTTAATGTCTAAGACTAATTATTAAATAAAACCTCTTGATTTGATAATTTTCAAGATTAATTTCATGGGAGGCAAGTCAGGTTGGATTTATACACTTGCTTGTAACTTAAGATTAAGTGTGTCACTAATACTTTTGGCAAAAATAAGATCACCTTGCCTAGTGCTCACAAAGAAAAGATGAGAATCAGAATGAAAACATGTAAAAGATTGCTGATTGTAAAGAAATATTGAACCTGTATATGGGCAAAATCGCTGAATGACAATAGGAAATAAAGAACTGTGAACTGGATAGGATCCATTTAAGAGTCAAGATCATGATTTGAATCAACTATTTAATGTGCATCTTGTAAAGCAATACTAATTTTTTCATATAATGCTAATTTAAACGACAAAGGGAAAATTTGATTTTGATCTTGAACCTTGAATATTTGTGAATACAAGGCCTAAGATGACGGATTGTATCTGGAAAATGATACAGGCAAATTGATCCATTGAAAAAAGTGATTTATCATTTTATTAATTGTCAGTGAGACAGTGACACAAAACAAGATTTTTAGCTCGACTATTCGCAGAATAATCGAGCTAATGCAGTCACCCATTTGTCGGCGTCGGCGTCCCTGTGGTTAAGTTTTTGTATGTAAGCTGGTATCTCCATAACTACTGAAGGAAATGGATTGAAACTTCACACACTTGTTCTCTGTGATTATCTAAGATGATTGGCACAAGTCCCATAACTCTGATTTGCTTTTTTTCATAATTATGCCCCTTTTTCGACTTAGAAATTCTTGGTTAAGTTTTTGTATGTAAGCTGGTATCTCCATAACTACTGAAGGGAATGGATTGAAACTTCACACACTTGTTTTCTGTGATTATCTAAGATGATTGGCACAAGTCCCATAACTCTGATTTGCTTTTTTACATAATTATGCCCCTTTTTCGACTTAGAAATTCTTGGTTAAGTTTTTGTATGTAAGCTGGTATCTCCATAACTACTGAAGGGAATGGATTGAAACTTCACACACTTGTTCTCTGTGATTATCTAAGATGATTGGTACAAGTCCCATAACTCTGATTTGCTTTTGTACATAATTATGCCCCTTTTTCGACTTAGAAATTCTTGGTTAAGTTTTTGCGTGTAAGCTGGTATCTCCATAACTACAGAAGGGAATGGATTGAAACTTCACACACTTGTTCTCTGTGATTATCTAAGATGATTGGCACAAGTCCCATAACTCTGATTTGCTTTTTTACATAATTATGCCCCTTTTTCGACTTAGAAATTCTTGGTTAAGTTTTTGCGTGTAAGCTGGTATCTCCATAACTACTGAAGGGAATGGATTGAAACTTCACACACTTGTTCTCTGTGATTATCTAAGATGATTGGCACAAGTCCCATAAGTCTGATTTGCTTTTTTTACATAATTATGCCCCTTTTTGGACTTAGAAATTCTTGTTTAATTTTTTGCGTGTAAGCTGGTATCTCCATAACTACTGAAGGGAATGGATTGAAACTTCACACTCTTGTTGTCTGTGATTATCTCAGATGATTGGCACAAGTCCCATAACTCTGATTTACTTTTTCGCATAATAATGCCCCTTTTTCGATTCATAAATTCTTGGTTAAGTTTTTGTGTGTAAGCTTGTATCTCTATAACTACTGAAGGGAATGTATTGAAACTTGAAGGGTTTGTACCTTTTCGGACAATTTTATGTATTCATATTATAAGGTAAGCATTATTATACTCAATGAAACAACCTTGTGACAAATTTTCGAATAGTCGAGCGTTACTGTCCTCCGACAGTTCTTGTTTCTTTTGTAAAATGTTTTGAAATGTTCTCTTTTTCCAGCTTTGTTTTACGGGCATATGGTTTTTTCGACAAAAAGATGACAGCAAACAATAGAGCACGGAAACCAGATTTAAAGGTACAGGAGCAGTTGAGAGAAGAGGAATTCCTTAAATCTAGAAGATCAAACTTAAAACGAGCGCAAGGAGAGGTAAGAGGTCAAGGTGGAGAAAACACAGACCAGGAAAAGAAGGAAGAGTTTGAAAAGTATGTTAAATCTGCGAATGAACTTCTTAAGGATCTTTCGAAGATATTTGATGGAAGGTCTCTTGAACACAAAAATCAGGAAAGTTATTCTCTCTTTGGAAATAGGCAGAGTAAGCTGTCCAGCAATTATGATCGGTATGGTAAAAGGGGTCAGGTTAATGATGCTGATGAAGACAATTTAGAAATGTCGGAATTGGATAGAGAAATCTTAGAGCTATTGGTTGAGGAGGAATATAAAAGGAATCATATGGAAGAATACTTGGAAAACAAACAGAAGTTGAAAAGAAAGAGAGAATTGCAAAATCTACTCAAACAGCTCAATGCAGAGCTGAAAAATGAGGCGTAAAGGCAAGAAGATGTACTTGAATATTTGCTTTTCTGTTAGGAGTTAGGTTCTGGGATAATGAAGGAATACTCATTTTACTTAATCACATTGTGTAAAATACTTATTTTTTGAAACAGTAAAGTTTAAGCATTATCATATTAACAGTTATCTTGGTTCTGGGATAGAATATTTAATAATACTCATTCTCCTTTTATATCATTGTAAAGTAGTTTATGTCCATTATATGTTTGATAATTTAGTTTTTAAATGGTTAAAAAGTATTCTTTTTGAAAAGAGTTACTGAAAAATCAAATTTTGAATCAAGTAAATTCTATAATGAAATATTTTGATAAGTTAACCTTTTTAAGAAATTGGATTTTTGTGTGTGTCTAAAAGCTTGCTTATCTTTTAAATGGTATCTTAATATACATTTAATGCACAACAAAAGTTGTGAAGGGGTGGGGATATTAACCATACAAATGTCAGTATGAGCATTTTATGTATGACATTGACCTTAAAATGACCTTGGCAGTTAAGGTGAAATCATTGAATTTTCCTAAATTACAATAATTTTGTTATTTAATTTATATTTCAACTAACCAAGATTTAGGATAAAACTGCCAAGTATAACAATTCAATTATAACTTTAAACTTTAGAGGAGCTCCACTGGGGTCAAAAAGCTTAAAACCATGAGAATTGAAACTCCTATATAGATCAAGTAAAGCATATAAAATAGACAAATCTGCAAAGGATAATAAAGAAATATACTCCAAATTGAAGAGAATATTAACTTTTTGTGCAATTCTTAGCTTGACTTAAATGAAAAGCATTGCAATGCTTTTCATTTTGGGTCATATTAAAGATAAAAATGATTATACTAGAAAATTGAACTAGGGAATGAACTGAAAATTTCACACAAGTTATTGGTTAACACCTACATCAAATGGTACACAAATCTTGGAAGAATATTTCCAGACCCATCATGTCATAAAACCTCTGTGGAGTCCCCTAACCTTGGCCTTTAATGTAACATTATTGAAATTTCATCATTAAGTTGGCCAAATCTCTGTTATAAATGCATGGATTTGATTTAATTTGGACATAACAACACCTTTGTGTGATGTAACTCATTGACCTTTAATTGTCCTTGACCCTCAAGGACATATATAAGAATTTATTTTGAAGTCTATAAAATGTAGTTAATGCAGTGATCAATGTTTTTGCATTTGATAATAAGAATAAGTCAGATTTGGACACTGTTTTGGCATTTTTTTTGTTATGGCTTTTGTTTTAGAATAAAAAAAGAAACCATTCAGTGATAGTTCTAGTTAAGTCTTCTACATTATGAAAACTATAATTATGCTCTGTTTCTAACTTCATAGTACAAATGATTCTTGAGTAATAATCTTCATTTATAAATGATATTTACTTAGTGAGGTTTGCAAATTATATTGTTACATAATTGAATTGTGTTACTGTTGTTTTTTATGCTGCATTTTTCTTTTATGTAATATTTTTCTTTGGTATACCAGTACACATTAAGATATAAGTTTGAATTTTAAGAAAGTCTCAATTCTTTAAATATTGTTTGTAGTTGACATGCTCTAGAAGCTTCTTTGCTTATAAACAAATAGAAATCCATTTTTACTTTTTGATGATATCCATTACCATAAAGATGAAAGGATATATGAAATCCATTATTTATTTGGTGGTAATTATCAAGAAAAAGTTGTTGATACATTTAAAGTTTATTATAATGATATACATACTCTTGTTATAAATGTTGTTATTATGCCCCCCTTTCAAAGAAGTGGCGGTATATTGCTTTGCATTTGTCTGTCGGTCGGTCTGTACATAGACCAAATGGTTTCGTATCAATAACTAAAGATCGCTTAGGCCTAGGAACTTCAAACATTGTATGATAATTGTTCATGACCAGTAGATGACCCCTATTGATTTTGGGGTCAAAGGTCAAGGTCACATTGACATTGTAGGTAAAAACGGTTTCGGACCAATAACTAATGAACTCTTAGGACTTGGTATGATAATTGTTCATGACCAGTAGATGACCCCTATTGATTTTTGGGTCAAGAGGGTCAAAGGTAAGGTCACATTGACCTTGGTAGGTAAATGCGGTTTCCAACCAATAACTCAGGAACTGTAGTTGCCTTGGTTGATGTTTTTTATTAAACTAAAAATGCTTTTGGTATACACATTTCAAGGTCTTATTTACTTTATCAAATTGGCTGTCATTAAGGAGGCCTACATTATTCATAAAATTTATGCATATATTATTTGGTAAGATAACTTTACGGTCACAATCTTAGGTCCTGGTATGATAATTGTTCATGACCAGTAGATGACCCCTATTGATTTTGGGGTCAAGAGGGTCAAAGGTAAGGTCACATTGACATTGGTAGGTAAAAGCGGACATGCAACCGGGGAGACATTTAGGGTTATCTAGAAAAAATATAAAACACAAAATATAGGAATCTATAACAGAGAAAATTTGTTCCATACAAGGAGCAATATATTTTGTGTCCCAATCTGATATAATCCAGATTTTCTACTTTCAAGCAGAATGAAATATATGCCTAAAACCCTGGTCAAACTTGTAAATCAGTGTCATTATCGATTTATTCCAAGAAATGATATGTAAATGGAAAAAAAACTTTCAACGACATATTTCTAAAATAAAACCATGCAAATAGACTTCAAGCATAATACATTATACCACGGATAAATCCGTTATTATACATGTGAGAATGTTATTTAGAATTGCTTCGTGTTTTAACATAGTGGGCATATAGACAATAAAATATAAGTCATTTGTATTTTTATTTCTTTTGGATATGTACGTCTCGTTAAAATCATCAGCAATTAATAGTCACCGTATTTTTTTTAGATTTCTTTTATTTGCAAGGGCCAGAGCACATCGTTTTTATTTTAATCTAAATGTCACAATTTTTTTTTAAAGCACTATAGTGTTTAGTTGTCCTTTTCATTTTCACAGTATTGCATGTGAACAAAGTAAGTATCCGCTGGTTTATAACATGTATAATGTGTACTCCCTACTGTCCGAAAATCAGCACAGGTAAAGCAGAATCTATTTTTAGAATAGCGAAGGTTAACTCATATCGTGACCTAGAAAATGTATCTAATTTATTAATAACTGCTGAATATTCAGCTAAACCCGCGGTATGAGTCACGAAAATAGTTCTTCTTTTATTAATGCGCGAGTTATTCTAGAGTCCAAAAAACTTTTGATTTGTTAATAATAATGTTTTGTATAATGTAGAAATATTTATTTCCTACTAATAATTTCTTGGAACTCAGAGCTTACACCTTTATTATAGTATAATTTGCTGTCCTACTTTTTCGACAGCTGTAAATCGTTTCGGCAGTAATTTGCATAATTGCGCAATAATACTACGGGACTACAACGTTTTTATCAATCATATACGTCCATATTTTAACTTGGATAACTTAATTTGAAATTGAAAAGGCTAAATATGGAAGATTTTAAGATATCCCGACCTAGTATGGGAGTTTTAAAGGAACAAATTCATGTACTTTTTCTTGGGCTGTTAATCGGTTGAGGACACTTTGCGCGAGTGTAGCAGACGAAATCCCATTAAGGAGGCCTACATTATTCATAAAATTTATGCATATATTATTTGGTAAGATAACTTTACGGTCACAATTACCTAGTGACTATTCATGACCAGTAGATAACCCTATTGATTTGTTGGTCACTAGGTCAAAAGTCAGTCATAATAACTTGACCACATAACTAATCGGCTGCAGATAGGGCATACATCTTGTTTACTGTCTTTCATATTTGTATCCATATTTTTTCTCTTTCCAGTTTGTTATAACATGAAAGCTCCAAATTTTAGATTTTGGTGAAAGTTTGAAAATGTTATATTTCATTTTTGTTATTGAAATTTTAGCACTTAAAAAATTAATACGTTTACAACTGAAGTGACCTTGAATGTTTTATCAGGAAAAAGCTTGAAATTTCTGTTTTTCTATTGTTTGTTGTAGTAATTTAATATAGTCAATATTTTTGCACAAGTTTAATGCGAATGTTTTTGGATATATTTTAGTTCTTTTTTATTTGTTTTTATCACCAACAAAGTGAAGAGAAAATGGATAACCCAAGGAGGGCTTGGAAAAATTGAATTTGAATAAAAATATATGAATTTCTATGTTTTCTACAACCATATTTTCTTGTTTATTAAACTTTTCTATTCTTTGTAAATTGAGTTTGTTATTTATTGTAAATTTTGGAATTACATGTACAAATGTACTTTTTTCATTTGCCAATTTGAGCATTGCTTGTTGTCCCCTGCCGTCCGATCTATAACTTATTTATAGTTAAAGGGATTTTGAAAATACTTGTCACAAATAGTTACAATAATGAGACAATATGTCATGCACAACACTAGCACCCCTACCTCCAAGGTCAAGGTCACACTTAGAGGTCAAAGATTAACATGACAGATTTTTAAATTCCGTGTTTTATTTTATTTCTTTAATAAATTTATTGTAGCATTTGCAGATCTAGCATTGATCATAATTTTGCACAGAAAGTCCTGAGATCCATTCAAATGTACCTCAATCTTTTGAAATGGCATAATTTTATGCATCATATAAAACTTCTCTGAGGTGGGGGACGTTGGTAACTACATATTCTTGTCTATGTAAGTGTTGTGTAAAGGACCCACTTCAATGATTGTTCAATGCAGGAATTATTGCCTAAAGGGCCTCTGCCAAGTTAATTCAAATATGGCCCTGGGGTCAAAATTGAACTTAATTGCTTCATTGGTAAGGGTTTTCTAAACATATAGTTAAAATCTCAAAATTTGCCCTTCTTCAGGTCCCCTGTTGTTGTTATACAATTATATTTAACATAAAACAAAAAACTTCAAAAACCTATTTTTATGAAAATGGCAAGCTATATACACAATCTATATACTTTTGATATCAGTTTGTGACCTATTTTTGCGACGGACGCGCCCTCAGGCGCGTTCAGAGCTAAGTCATCTACACATGGGATTTCGTTGGCTACACTCGCGCAATGTGTCCTAAACCGATTAACAGCCCAAGAAATAGTACATGAATTTGATCCTTCAAAACTCCCATACTTTGTCTGGATATCTTAATGTCTTCCATATTTA